ATCCGAATGAATTTTTAATCCGAATGAAAAGGGTGGGTTATGCCGATTGATAATCGGAATGAGGTTCATGTAAAYACTTAATCGGATCATCTTATTCTSATTGTAGAAAACTGACCTGTGTGCGCATGTCTGCTGACTTTCATTCACCTGGTTCTGCTCTTAGAGGAGGTGGGACAGCAGCGCTCCAGCTGCGCTGCGCCACACAGAACTTTTCCTTCACACTCTCTTAACAGATGAAAAAGGAGACAAACAGCAGACGTAGCTTCGCAAAAAAAACATAAATAAATAAAAAGCACGTATTGCTTCATCTGCAGCTCAACCGAGGAGTAACGACATCTCTACAGTTACTAAAAACTGACACGGGTCTGTCCTGAGCGCACAGAAGAGCTTTGTTTATGTTTGTAACACGGAAGTAGAGCTGACAGTTTACAACACTGCACATGTCCGGACTCTTATTCTGAATAAAAGTCTGATGCATGTAAACACTTTTCATGATCGGATTGTGTCCATGTAAACAGTACATTCGGATTATTTAATCCGAATACATTTCAATCAGATCAAAAAAATTTTGTGCATGTAAACATAGCTAGCTGGGATAATTTTACTTATTAAAGCTCATAATCTTACCACTTGAAACATYACTAGCCCTGAAGCTGCTGGTAGACATCGCGGTTGGAATTATCAAAGGTTTTTGACATCTGAGAGACACCGTAGCAATTCCTTTGTTTGGAAGAGGGGGTGGGGGGAGGACCAGGGAGGATGATTCAACCACTCAACCACTAGATATCGCTGAAAACAACAAATTCTACACACTGTGTCTTTAAACCTGGTTGGGACCAGGTTAGTTTCAGARCACTTTTTACCATGGAAACATAAGCACTTCCCCTCCCATGAAACCRATTCAAGGCTTCATTCAGTTTTACACCAAAATCCTGACTTAATCCTTTGTCCTAGATTCGTGCAATAGGCCTCTGATCGTTAAGTGAACATGAAATGTTCAATAAAACACCTTTTCCTGTAAACAAATTATTAGCACACAACATGGAAGTGACATGGTAATAAGGTCTATAAGGTAATATGTCACATAATTTTGTCAAGGTCTGGAATTGAATAAACCCAGGAGCAGGCAGACAAGAGGAGCTCAAAATAAAAATATTTATTAAACAAAAACAAAAAGCTGACGTGGCAGCAGCAGACTTACAAAAACCGCAGGGAAGACACTGTGAGAATCTGGCAGGAACAGACCCAGGGTGCAGGCAGGCTCAAAAAGTAGAACAAAAATTTATTTTAAATAACAAAAAACTGCTGTAGAGACAGCTCAAACTTACAAGATGCACGGAGATCACACAGGCAGGGGGAACAAAACACAATGAACCGACAAAAGACTGAGACAAGACAGAACTTAAATACACTGACAACTAATGGCTGAACTGAAAACACCTGGTGAGAAACACAAGGGTGACAATCAGACAAATGGGGAGCAGCTGACAGAGACACACTGGGGAACATAGAAAAACACTAGGGAAACTAAGGTGAAAACAGACAAACCATGACATGCAGGTGAAAAGTGTGCGTAAATATAAGCACACTTTCACACAACGTTGGTTTTAAAACATCCCAATGTGGACATAGAACCTGGCGCACACAAAGTTTTTGTACGTACGCACCGTTTGTACATCAGGCCCCTGATGTTTTGACTTGGATGTTTACAGAAATATCCATTTATCATATTGATGTATTGTCCACTGAGTAATAAGCAGCACTCATATTCATATAATAGTAAAATAAACACACCAGAACATTTAAAGACAGCAAAAATAAATGTTTGTGTCAGATACAGAAATACTGAAATAAATATTACTACAGGTCAGACTTATCTACAGCCCTGCCAA